TGGCAAATTCCAGAAGGTGTCAGTTTTAAACTACACGATAAAAAAGAAAAGATTGACTCAGTCTTTAAAGCACGTGAGTTCCTGAGAGTGCGACTGGGAGAGAAAGCCGAGGATGCCAAGGAAGAAGATGACAGCAAATCCACTAGCGAATTGGACTTGGGGTCTTCCAATGAGGACTCTATTTCCGATAAGGGAGCGGCTGCACCCAAACATGCATATCAATTGAGGATTAGAAAAGATAAAACAAAGTGAAGGCTGAAGGACTCTGAATTGTGCCTTAAAATCCTGTTTTTATTATGGATGATGCTCTTGGGTTTCTCTTTAAACAGTTAAATTAATGGATAAAAAGATAAATAATTTAGCATGTTCAAAGTAATACTAGCAATTTAAGATTAATACTTATATAAGCTGTTGTTATGATCTCCTATTCTTGGGGTTTTAGTTATTAGTGGTTTTCTTTCCTTTCTCCCTAGATGTAGTTCCCCCTTCCTATTTTTTCATTGTAGTTTGTAGTTTATTAAAAAATGCAATAAAAAATCCCCTCCGGGGGGCCAAAAAAAGAAGAAGGACAAACTGTTGAGCAGTGACTGAATTTTTCATTGGAAAGCCTTATTTCATTGCACTAATCAGTTACACTATCAATACCCTTAACTGGGTGCAATCTAGACAAAACACAGACTTAACTGCACATTCAGGCATTTAACACCACACATTTCATCAGGGAGGATGCCTTACGTTTTTGCTACAGCTGCAGTTTATACCTTGCAAATCTGAATGTTCTTGACTAATGAGCTGATACAAAAGCAAATGTGCCTGGTGCTGCCATAAACTGCATACTCAAATAAGAACAGAGTATCTGAAGATGCTGACCTCACAGTTTTTAAAGCTCACAATTCCTGAATTTTTGTAACTTTTCTTCTTTTGCCTCTTCTTCTCATTGATGCATTCAAATTCGGCCTATAAAAAATTAACAAAACAGAAAAGCAAAATCACACACATTGAGGGAGTAATCTTGAACAGTGCAAAAAAGCTTAGGGCCATCTCACACGGTACTTCCTGTAATGCTTCACCTTTGAGGAATATACAACGGATATAACTTTCAACAGAAAATGTGCCTAATGGCCACAGAAGTAGCTGCCACTGTGTACTGTTGGTTCCTGACCAACTAATTACAGTGTTCTCATTAATGGACTAATTGTTTGAATTAGAGGGGGAAAATCTGAAGAATGTGATGTATTAATTGGTTTATATTTAAAAATAAATCTGTATGAACACCAATGTAATAAAAGTAGTAGTGTGTTCTCTACTTGAAGATTATGGAGGTAAAAGTAGTAAAAGTAGTAATACAAGTATTATACATTCTAAAATGGCTGTTTTTTAAATGGTCAATCTCTGTCCTAATTGCTATTAACACACAAAGTATCCACAAGTTAGGCATGACAGTAGGCATCTTAATGAACCTGCTTCTGGCTGTCAAGGAAAATGAAGACTCCTTTCAGATATTTGTGTACATTTGTACACTAAAAGCAAAACAAGTTAGCCTAGAGAAATATTCTAGTTCCTATTTCTTAGTAAACATCAGAGAATGTTGACAGTGTTTTTCACAAACAGGATGTACTACTTATTTAGCTGGCATATATGCTCTGAAATACGTGTTCTCTTTTTTTATGAAGAGAACTATTGTGTTTCTTCAAACTCTGTGCTAAGGTCAACAATTTGTTATAATCAGCCCACAAACTTGTTCTTAACTCAGGAAAACCCAAAATCAAACTACTCAGAGATCTGCATTTAGAAACCAAAGATACAGTTTTACTGGAATGCTTAGGCAAGCCACCCAATTAGATCAATGTTAATTAACTGTCATAATTGTAATCCTCACCTTAAATCATAGGAGTTTAAATTGTCACTCCTCAAGTGAATAAAACCAAAATTTTGAAAAAAAGTTTAATTTTAGTTGATACATGTGTACAATGCAGCATATATTAAAAGTTTATGTCAAGGGAGATGATTCTGATTTGCATATGTAGCAAGATGACATGTCTGAACCATAAGAATAGGGGATGATACCTTGAATGTTTTGCTATGGAAAAAAACACTCCTGCAAATGAAAAAATTAGCACTGAAAGGAGACAGGTTCTAGGCCTGTTCTTACTACACACTGAAGTGGTATAGTCCATTCCACCCATCAGGAGTCTACTACCTCATTTAGTTACATGTATAGACCAGAGATAAGATGGCAGCTATCACTTGCAGTTGTTGCATTAAAATATTGCCTTAAAATGTATTAACCATAATAAGGGGCACCTCTTCAGTCAATGAGAAGTTTCTAATTAACATAAATTAATAGCTGCGGCAACTCAGGAAATCTGAGACTGACCTTATATTTCCAGTATTCTATATTTTTATTAGCTCGTTTTCTGTTAGATTTTTTTCAAGAAGAAAGAAAAAGAAGTATATGCTATGTTACAACTGAAACAGTTTATTACTCTTATTTTGTACACTTTGCAAAACTGGGCATGGAAAGTTAATGACATTTAAAATTTATTCTAACATTTGATTATTTTTAATAGCATCTGGGATGCTAAATTGCTATTGTTGTATTTAAAAAATCCCCAAGTGATTCAAGAGGTAATATAGCAGTATCATACTAAGCCACCCACTCAGCTTCATTTGCACTATAAGAAAAAATAATTAAGGACTATTATGATCTAGCATTTTTCTCCAAATGCTCAAAGCACTTTGCATGTTCCCAGTCAGTTTTACAACAGCCCAATAAGAAAGGTCCGTATTGTTACTACAGATGGGAGGCCGAACCCCAGAGACAGTGACCTAAGCGTAGCTACTAAACTCAGCTGAGCAGAGACTTGAATGTCTGGTGTCTGAGTATCAGTTCACACCCTTCCACCTAGAGAACAAGCACGGACAAATACCTAAATGTAATGGACAGCTTTGAAATGCATAAGGTTAAGAAAGATGTGGGCTTACTGGTGAGTGTCGAGAGGCTTCCTTCAGTTTTGACATTGTGGTTTGAAAGATGCCTATCAAGTCATGGGAACCATCACTGTCATAATCATAGCACTCAACCTGAAAATGAAATATTATTCAATATTTTTTAATAATGGTACATCACAGTTTCCTGTATTTTACTCACACTGACTAGGGGGGAAGAAAAGCAAACTGAAGACAGGATGAGACCTATCATTATGAACAAAATACTCTCACTACTGTGTGTTCACTTTAAGTAGGCCAACACTGTGTTGTTTTGCCATTTAAGACAGGAACCACTCACTTTCAAAGCAGCTGAATATTCATGGCTTAATTAAGCCCAACAATGTCACAGGCCTTTGTCACACCTAAATATCAGCCACCATTTGCTTATTATGAAGGTGAGACTAAAAGCATGAATATTTACCTTCGGAGTCAACACAGTGGCTTTTAGTATGGTTAACTACTAACAATAGGCAGTGTGTGTAATTGTCCTGTTATTACTCCCACTCAACATCTAATATAGTCTTCAGATTGTTGTTTTAGAAGCTCGTTTAAAAAAAAAAAATGTTATTTGAGTTTCTTGTGATGAAGCCTGTCACTGTCCAATGTTCCTGAAGTTACCAACTGCAATCCTCTGGGCTAGTGCACACAAAGCACGACTTCAGCAGTATCAAAACAACCATGCACATGCATTCCCCACCAATACAGATGACATGCAGAAACCATTACCACAAGAAGTTGTGTGAAAACAGATTTGATCTTTGTGAAGGCATACAAAACTGCAGTAAACAAAAGATTACTGGTGGAAGGCTGATATCTCCTCTTTCAGTACAGCTTTTTAAGAACATATTTTTAAAATAACTATGCCCACACGTGTTTTAAAAAGATGACCAAATATCTTTCCATTAAGTGAGCTGTACTACTAGATTTGTTAATGTGTTTTTGAAGGTCACATTATGTTTCAATGATTCACTGCAACACACACAGAGATAATGTAATGAGAAATCAAAGCAAGTTGTCTGTGTATTATGGTTGAATACACAAACAGCCATTTTAACACAAGAAGAGGCACTTGTGCCCTAAAAAAGACATTTTACTTACTACAATGAAATAGCCAACTATTTAAGACATCGTGCGCATAAAAATATTAAAGCATGGTTTAATCAATTATTATAGTACAGTATATTTTTTCTTATTAATTATAGAGAAATTAGTTCAAACTGCTTTTCAGAAGGTCACAAAGCTCTTCTGAACTTTTTTGTGTCATTTACCCAGTGGAGAATACATCAGACCCAATTCATGGTCTCTCAATGCCGATTTTGTTCCAACTGATTTGAGAATGAAGCCAAATGGATTTATCATATCACTGCATTTTGCTCATGCAGGGATGGAAATAACTTTACCTTAAGGGATCTATTTTACTATAAAAACACAATACAGGCTGTTACTGCTAAACAAAAACACTGGTCATTGGTGGTTTTTAACAAAGGTAGATTAGACTAAGAAGGAAACTTATTATAACCACTTGGCTAACCCAAATTAAAACTAGTAAGGAATGACAAAATACACATAAATGAGTTGAAGAAATACTTAAGTCTTGGATTCAAGGGCATAAAGATATGCAAGGACAGATCAATAGTTTTCTTATTCACAAGGCTGTGATAATACATTTTCTGAGCAAATGATTCCAGACATTCACTTTATTGCTCATATCCAGGAAATATTTACAGCCAGCCCAATACTGCAACTAGAAGCATTTCAGAAAGCACTGTACAAAGACAACACAAGAATGCTGAAGACTAAAGGCTAATGGGTCAGATTAAAATGAAAGAAGTATGAAATAAAGGTGAAAGGGAATAAACAGTGTAGATATAAGCTTGATGCATTTAGATGTCTGCCAGTACACTTCTTTGCATGTCTATACAGATGTAAGTCTCAGTGATCTTAATGATCTTACTTTCTAAAGTAGGGTTAGAATAAGGATTGTGAGTTATAAGCAAAGAAGGCTGATCTCACAAAAGCTGTGAGTAGCAAAGAAATACACAGCTTTAAGACTATTTACAAGATCCTAGTCAGAAGTAGGTGAATTACTAGGCACAACTATTTTAAAGATTTCTGCAGAAACAAAAGCATTGAGGAGGGCTCATACATAACAACATTGTTTGAGAACAAGCAAAGCAACCTGTGTACCACTGAAGAGATAATGGACTGCCCCATCTAGCCAGTCCCATGAGCTCAAGCAAACATGAAGGTGCCCAGCGTGGCAATTTCTGCAGCCTTATTACCAATCCCTTATATTTTCATGGCCTCTTTCCAGTGCCCTTGCTGTCCTGGATATTACATAGGCACAGGAATTTTGGGGGGGGGTAATTATTTCTACCTGATACCAGGTGTGGGTACTGGTTATTACCTGCTGTTGCTGTTTATTATTTTATTGTTCTTACTGTTTATTGGTTTTATGTTGAGAGCCACCCTGAGCCCATTGCTGGCATAGGGTGGGGTATAAAATAAATAAATAAAATATACTGCCAATCTCATTCAATTGTCACTGCTTATTCTTAACATATATATCCTTGAAGATACCATTATTTCAGTTTTGAAATCATTAAAAAAAAGTCACTTGGAGTAATTTTAAACGGTAAATGCACTATCTGCATGGTAAATGTACTAAATACATCCATTTAATGTTACCTTGATTGTTTTGTCCATATCACCATAACACAAAGAGTTGAGAGAGATTTTAAATGGCCTCCAGACAGGATTCAAGTTATTTTTAATAACCTAAATAAAATACAAAGTATTTGTTAGAAAGATCATCAGTGCAGGATGGGGGCTGTTCTAACACAGTGTAATGCCTTTAGAACAGTAACTTATTGTTCTTTCTTGAAGGTGCAGTCCTTTCAAAAACCATTGGTATAAACTCTGGGAAAAAACAGATATGCTGCACGTCACGTTCTCTCAACTATAAAACATGTAAAAACTAACTCACTTCTGTTCTGTGCACCATCAACCAGTTTCCTTCAGATGTCTGCTTGTGAAACTCCAGGTAAGGATCAGATTTTCCAAATAAATCCTGCAAGAATTAGATGTCCTTCAGTGATGCTACTGAATTATCGTACTGCAAAACTGTTACAAACATTATTTTAATATGATCTCCTATTGAACATAGACATCACTTTAGCCTCAACAACACACACATGACTTCATGATTTCTCTTTTCCAGAACCATGGCCTACAAGCCAGCACTGGCTCCACTCAGAGCACTATGACTGTTTCCTTGGAAAGTTCAGGGAATGCAAGTGTTTGCAGCTATATTCAGATCAATGGAAGTGATCAGAGGTCGATTTGGGGGAATCGCGGGGGATCGCAGTTCCCCCGGGTGAGGTGCAAGGGGGGCACACGACGAAGCCCCACCCCCTTCTTCCGGCCGCCCCCTGCTTCCAGCCTCATTCTGTTGCAGAAGGAGGAAGAAGCAGGAGGGTAAGTTGGCGTCCTCCCCCTCTGCCTGGCCGAGGCCACTCCACGTGGCCTCTGCAAGGACTTCCAGCCCCATCCAGGAGCTTCCCCGAGGTAGCTGTGTTAGTCTGTTGCTGCAAAATAGTCCAAGAGTCCAAATAGCACCTTTAAGACCAACAAATAGCACCTTTAAGACTAACAAATAGCACCTTTAAGACTAACCTTTAAGACTAACTGAGTGGTGGGTGTGGCCTTATGACACACTTCCGGTGATGGCAGGGGGTGTGGCCTTATGACATACTTCCGGTGATGGCAGGGGGTGTGGCATATGCTAATGAGTTCCCCTAGCTCTTTTTCTACGAAACGACCCCTGGAAGTGATAAAAATCATCCGCACCTGCCCCACCTCCAAATGAGATTAACTAACAAAACCAGCAGCTGACCAATCAGTTCGTACCGCTCAGGAAACTGAAGCACGATCAGGTTCAGGGTAGATAGGGTCTTTCAATGTCTTCTCAGGACACCAGGATTGTAATTGATTTGTTTGGATATGGAATTTGCAGTTTAAAACTTGAGGCCTGATCTATTTATTTAAGTGCTTACTTCCAAAGATCAGTAAATCCAAGAGGACATGAAGAATAAAAAAGATCTATGGGGGAAAAGTATACAGCATAAGTATACAGTTTCCAAAAGGACTGAAAATATTTCAGTTTTTAGGGCTCCATGGAAGTGAAACTCATTAGTGCAGGCCACAGAGACTGGTATTTATTTTTATATCGGGAAAACTAAAAAGAATAGCATAAAAGGAAATTCATAAAGTTCATCTGTAAGTCACAGCCAAATCTTGCTGCAGTAATATCCTATTCAATACAGCTTGTAAGATGTATCTTAAGAGCTTCCTTGAATGTCCCAGGTGCCACAATATAACACAATTTCTCCCCTCAGCCACTCTCATCTTAGCAGGCTTCTGAATTGAGACAAGTAACATCATTTATCACGAAGAAAGGCTCAAGTACCTTCTTGTCCAGTTTCCTTGCTTCAACTTCAAAAATGACAACTCTATTATCCTTTACTTCTTCAGCTGTAATCTGGATAGACAGGAAGATAAATGTGCATCATGTTTGGACAATGCAAGTATACAGAAGTTCTATTTAGGTGGCTCAAAAATGTGATAATTCTAGGAGCTTTAATGGGAATGTTATTTCTTTCACTTGCAAAAACAATAATGTTCCTAGTAGGGCATTTAGGATAACAAGCACATGAACACAGAGAAGATGGATTGCCTGTGTTCCTATCAAGCCAGGGACAGCTTTTTGCCATTTGAGAAAATTACAGTTTTACAGCAACAGAAGACCTTCTCTCACGTATTTCAAACCATTAAATGCCCAGCCATAGAGCAGATTCTTTATTTCTTCTGCTTTAAACAGCAAAACCCCCCCTCAAATTTCAAAAAGAAGCTTTTTGGCTGCTGTTTTTTTGGGGGGGAGAAACCACTCAAAGTTCCTTTGGGTATGTAGAACTAAGCTTAGAGATCTTTGGATTGAAGTGCTGGATCCAAACTAAATTTTCTATCAGTGGAATGGAATTTTGTTTATTTATAACATTTTAAATGTTGTTTTTAATTGTTCAATCAAATGTTTTTATGTTCACCACCTTACCTTGATCAGTTGGAAAGGCAGCACAAAACATTTTAAATAAATCTTTCCTACCTTCCCAACTCAACAGCAGCCCACTGAGCTCCACAAAGTGCTGTCCTGGGAGATAGGGGCCTCCAGGAACAGTATGGGAAGTGAGAAGAGGGTGGCATAAGAAGGAGAAATGGGCAGAAATTTCCTCTCCTCTTTAATAAGTGGAAAAGTTATCTAGACCAAATCCCAGGTCATCATTTTGTAATTTGTTTAAAGACCACAAAAATAAAGTGAAAACACATGAACAATCTCTGAACAGTCCAGAGAAAATGAATGCAATGAGTGCAACTTTAAGCACATATTCACTTCAATAAAGTTTCAGAACACTTAACTGCCCCATTTGGGTGCAATCAGGACAGAAATCAAAAGATCAAAATCTAAGATGAAAACTACAGACCAGGAATAAAGCAACAATATTTTCATACTGTAATTTTTCCTTTTCCTGCAGGCTTGCCATTTTTCATTACAAGAGGTCTGGTAAGTGTCTTGCTGGAAACAATCTGTTGAAATACAGAAATATCCAGAATAATTACAGTGGAAAATTGTGGCTAATTATTAAGAATGACTACAAGAATATTAGCAAAATCAGACAACAACAACAAAGTAAGATTTTTTCTTAAGTCTATGAAGCAAATGGCTTATTATATCTTTGATTTAAAACAGACATTGTATAAACTGTGCATTTGCCTTTACTATTCCATAACTAACTTGAACTAATAAGTACTTTTGCCTTCTGTATATATTTTATACACAGTTTGGTGTAGTGGTTAAGTGCGCAGACTCTAATCTGGGAGAATCAGGTTTGATTCCCCACTCCTCCACTTGCACCTGCTGGATGACCTTGGGCAAATCATTTATTTATTTATTTGTTTGTTTGTTTCACTTTTACCCTGCCCTCCCCGCTAGGCAGGCTCAGGGTGGCTTCCAAGAACTGACAAGCAGTATACATTCATCATAGTTCCGGCACAGCTGTTCTTGAAAAAGAGCAGTTTCTGTCAGAGCTCTGTCAGCCCCATCTACCTCACAGGGTGTCTGTTGTGGGGAAGGGAAGGGAAAGGAGTTTGTAAGCCGCTCTGAGACTCCCTTGGGTAGTGAAGGGCGGGGTATAAATCCAATCTCTTCTATTCTTCTTTTAATGACAAATATGGTAATTTTAGGTTTGTATTACCTATTTATGGTCATGGTTGTCATTCACCTTTGTTTTCAGTTAAACATGAAAAACTGCCTGTTTATCTTATGTTGCAAAAGAAGAGAAAGTTAAATGCAAAACCAAAAGGTTCAACTAAACTTTAAATATAAAATGCCCCTTTACAATAAAAAATATGCTTAAAAAGTGTTAGAGAATTTCCACAGTAAGACTCTTAACAGATATGCTGTATGTGTTTATTTTTTTCAAAAACATATTTCTAACTGCAAAGGAGACTTTTTCGCAGTTTTAAATGGATTGTTTGACACAGACACCACTTTTGATGTCAGAGGAATAATTTATATCGGCATAGACAGGATTTCAAATGAAATGATACTAGGGATGGGCATGAACCGAGAAACCAACCACGGTTCGAGCACGAACCAGGCCAGTTTGTGGTCTGTTTAGAACCGGTTCTTTTGGTCGTGTTGTTCCTGAATAAAAAAAAGAACCACCTTTTTTCCATGGAGGTTCATTAGGTTTGCTAGAGTGGTTCGTTCTCCAGACAGCCTGGTGCCAATTCAATCAATTCCTAAGCAACGCTGGGGGTGGACTTGTGGAGCAGTTGTCCATAGCCTGATTGGCAGCTCTGGGAGCCAACCACAGAGCTCCCATTCTGTTCTGTGGGAACAGATTGTTATTTTTTTTATAATTTTTTATTTTCTACATAAAACCTACAAAACTACGCACTAACTAAAATTACACCTATACAACGACCATATATGATAATAATTAATATCTTAAGTCAAAGCTTTTCTCTTTTTCAAGTTAAGAATAAAAGTTCTATTCTGTTATTTCGATATGCAAAAAATTAAAATTATTGACAATGCAAGATTATGTAATGTAATACATAAACATTTCTTCTAAAGTTTAAGCTATTTTCTGCCTTTCCCTCCTCTCTTCTTGCTTCTATCGTCTCAGGATGGTTTGGGTGCTGCCGCTCCCAATTCTGATTCAGATTCTACTTCTAAGCTGCCATCTGCAGATGTTTCATGGCTTTCCAAGCCATGCGAACTGTCCAGTTCTCCTTCTTCTTCTTCCTCTATGTTCTTTGTATCCTTTTTGGGTTCTTGATGTCTTTTCAAAGACTGCTTCGCTTTGGTAAAAGAGTCAATCTTTTCTTTTTTGCCTTTGTAGTTGAACATCAAGCCTTTCAGGTAGTATTCATCGGTAGGTAGTGGAGTTTTCCCGTAAATAGGAGGTTAAATTATTGTATTGTTTTCTTTTCTTCCTTATCTCAAATGGAATGTCTTTTAGTATTCTGATGTCTTCTTCTTTGATTTTCAGTGTGGTCCCAGATGTTGCTTTCAGTATTGCATCTCTTAGAGATCTCTTAGAGAATCTGACGTATATTTCACCAGGCAGGGGTTTTTTCTTAATAAATTCTGAATATGTCTGGTAGATCATATCCATTTCACTTTGTAATACTTCTGCCTTAATGCCTGTCACTGGTGCAAGCGCTTCACTAAGGATTTTTTTCAGATTCTCAGATTTATCTTCTGGTATACCTTGAAATCTCAAAACATATGAAGATTTTTCCATCTGTAGCTGCAAAAATTGAGTTTTATCTGAAGATCTTTCTTTTTCCACAACTTTCAGTCTTTGGTCAATTGCTTTAGTCTTGTTTTCAACTTTTTCTGTTCTTTTATTGGATTCTTTTAGCTGTTTTTGTAAAGACTCCAAGGTCTTGCTGATATTAGTCATCTGAGCCACCAAAGGTCGCAATGCAGTGTCCAGCATGCCTGCAAAGTCAATTCAATTTTCAATTCAATTTTATTTAGTTAGCTCACATGACCAATGGTCTCAAGCATACCCACAGCCTGCAAAGTTAAAGTTCACTTCCAGTTTAGAAACTGGACGTGTTGAGCTGGCAGTTCCTTGTTGAAGCTTCACTTTCGCCACCATCTTTTCAGCCCAATAAGACATTGTTTATGTTTTGTAAAAGTTTGCTTAAGTCTTTAGAAGTTTATTCACTCTAATGCCTTAACAGTCTAGCATTGTACTAATTAAATTCAGCCGTCCGCTCAAACACCACCACTTTCTGCCCCCTCTAATGCTTTTAAATCTTTGCCGTTTTCAAGTGGTGGGTAGCTTCCCCCCCTCCGCTTTTTCTTGGGGGCACCCAGGCTGGCATCTTACTCACGCTCCACTTCATCAGGTAAGAGAAAGTCTATTTGTTTTCACCAGGTCAGTTGCTCGTTGGTCCGGTATGCTCGTCTCATGCCAGAATGGTACCATGGCAACAGGGACCTATAAGGGCAGGGGGGAGCATTGATCCTTTGGCCACAGCCTTGGGAGAGGCACCCCCAGCGCCCCAGGCTGGGAGCCCCCTACAAGGGCCCCGGGGGGGAGTCCAGAACCAGCCAGACCCCCTCCCCGCCGCCAGGTCACGGGCCGCTCTCTCCAGAGCTTCGGAGGAGCGCATCTGCCATCAATGCACTGAAACTGGAAGTCCTCTAGATTATATATATATACCACACCTTGACTCAGCTGCTTTCACTTTGCAGCAGGGAGAGAGAGGAGTTAGTCGTCATGTGAGAGCGAGTTAGGAAGAATTTCTTGCTACATGGCTGATTTAGGGAGAGGCTAGAGCTGAGCTTTCCTGGGGGAACCTGTTAAGGGGGGGCTATAATTCAAACATCCCAAATCCAATCTTTGCCAAGCTTGGAGGATGGGTGGAGGAGAGCCGGAAGACTCCCTGTGAGTTTGGCGTTCTACCACCTCCCAAACTCATGAACCAAATGAATCACAAACTAGTTTGGGAAATGGGAAAAGTTCATGAAAGCTTGTGATTTGTGTAATCAAATGAACCATGAACCACCACGAACAACCATTTTCCTGGTTCATGCCCATCCATAAGTGATACTCATCTGGGCAGGACCACATTAGTTGTTTCTGAATCAGCCGCAACAACTTTGTAAAGACTTTAGGAAACATGTAGTAACTATTTACACTTACCTGTCCTAGGGTACATTCAAATTCTCCTAAGAAGTCATCATCATTCAGTTCAACAGTTGCATTATCAATATCAAAAACCCCAAATTTGAGTTTCTGGACGAGTTCAAAATAGTAATCAATTAGGAACCTCTTGGCAAACTTGGGGTCCAAACAGTTTTTGACTCTTTCTGTTCGAGCGACCTGCAAATACAACATAAAGGTTTATCATCATAGTAATAAAAAGACAAAAAGCCCACTTTTCACAGGTGGCTTTAAACTTTTGAGTATTAAAAAACCATTGCCTTCATCGCCCCCCCCCCTTTCCCGATATAGGAAAATGGGACTAAATCTAATCAGGTGCACAGGAATGTAGAGATAGACACACACACACATTAGGTGCTCAATACTGAAAAATAAACATTACCAATATTATGGAACACTGTCAGAATGATTACTTATTCTTCTCAGCATTGTTAAGTAACACTTTATCAATTAAAGAATATTTACAAAAAGAAAGGATATCAAATCCTGGCCCCTGTGCAAATAGCAAAAAATTGTACAATGGAGACAGGTACAAAAAGGAGACCAGGTTCTGAGAATTGGGGGGAATCCATAGGGATTCAGAAAAATCCACCTTGGCCTCTTCTGATCCCCTTTTGGGATTTAAAAAACAACAAAACACTCAAACCCCAAAGGGCTACTGTGGAGCATGCATGTATCTGGGACATAACAAAAAACGCAGGCAATAAAGTAGCACCTGATTACTCATGAGAATTTAGGTGCTGACCTAGTTGCCACAGCAATTTACTCATCTGCCAAAGCTTCAGCCCTGTGATATAACTTGAGTTGAAGAGCTTCATGCTGCACCACAGCTTTGGTGACTGAGGGGGTTGTTGTGGCAAATAAAATAGCATCTTAAGCTTCATAAATTATACTACAGTACTTCAGTGGGACCACATCAGAGACCAGAGGAGAAGGTGGTCCTGGGAGAGTTGAGTGGAGAGAAGGGTGGCCTGAGGGGATTTGAAAGGGTGATGGTGAAGGAAGAAGTTAAAGGAATGGGCTAGAAGGAAGGCTGCTGTGGGGAAGAAACCCTCATCCTGAGGGAAGGGTGAGTAGTCTAAGGGCACTTGAGATAGTGAGCTAGGGACAGTATATTTAGATGCATTAGGGCATTTGATTTCTTTTCTTTTCACCCACTTACTGTTATTATTCCTGCACCTTGTTTGTTTGACCTCCTATAAAATAAACCATTTTCACTCTACCTGGTCCTCACACTCATTTCGGCTAAAAAGGAGGTCTAAAGGCTTGGGAGGGTGCTCTGGGCCTTCTCAGATGAGCCTGTAACCAGAGTGGTGGCAGCGTCAGGTGACACCCCATCTGAGCCATGACAGAAGGTCTAGGCTAGGGAAGAGGAGAGAATCAAGAAAAGTATGGTGGAAAGTTGTTGCAAGTGCTTGGGGGATAAATTATATGGGATGATGTGACTACGTGAAGGGAGAAGAACAGGACAAGATGGCCTTTTCAAAGGAAGTATAGGCCTGAATTGCAGAAGTTAATGTTTCTGGGGGAAAGAATCCTGACAAACTTTATTAGACATCAGAATTCATCTTTAAATATCAAGTGTATTACAGAAGCTGTTCCACTATTATTTAAAGTCTTTTCAAGCACTTTTCCACAACCTCTCAAAGTAGTTCACAAAAAAATAAAAATACTTTTTAAAAATCATGCAGTACCTCATACCACTGCTGTCCACTTGTGTGCTGAAGTAACACACACAGTGGGTCTGACTTGGAGCCAACATCTCTATCCAGGAGACTATTACAGGAAACAGTTAGTTCCACCTTTGTCACACACTGTGCCGCCATCTGCTAGAACAGAAAGGAAAGCAACCAACATAGTTTAATATGAAGGGCGGGCGGGGAGAGAAAATAAGATTAACTTGGATCTAACACTTCTACCAACAGAAGAGATTTCTAATTGGCTTCCCTTCCCCAGCAGCCCCTCCCACTCTCCCAAAGCCACTACTAAGAGTCAGGAACATTTGAAAATAGCATGCTATGGAGGATGGGGGGGCACTTCAGCAAGAAGGAGAACTCAGACAGAATCATTATTCTTGCCTCTTGCACGATCAGTTCAAGATCTCAGCAGTGCTCTGCTCATGCAGGAGGAAGGGGAGGATGTTCTCTGCCAAAAATCTTTTCAACAAGTTTGCTCCATTCATGGAACAGTTAAATCCAACAGAGAGAGTATGACTATAAACAGAGTAAAGTATGCCAGGGCCACAAAAATATGTATTAGACTGTAACCCACCACTTTTTAAAAAAAACTAACTATGAAGCACATAAATACAGTATGGAGTTTTTAAAGCCATCTGGAAATAACTATAACAATTTAACTAATGTATCTTCCAAGATGAAACATTTCCCATTCACTCAAACATAAAGGAAAATCTATTTCAGAAAAGATATTGGGTTTCTCAAAATAGAAGGATTCCATATATCATTATTTTCCTGAAATGCAGGAGGTCCTCAATAAAACAACTATCTGCAGATGTATTACTCTCCTCTAACAATAGTTTTGGACAGGCATCCTCTCATCATCAAAGAGGACCCAGTCCGTGGTTTAGGAGCAAAAGAGGATAAGAAGATGTCTTGAGCATTGCTAGAAGAGGACTCACACAGAGTTTGACAGAAGACTTATTTGAAAGGATCACGTCTACCATTTGGTGGGAAGATTAAGTGGCAGCAGAACAACTCCTAGTGTTTCTGGATGATACATCTTGTGCTCAACCCATTTCAATCTGGCTTTAGGCCACAGAAATCATTAGTCGCCCTCATGATTTATTGCTGTTTGCGCATGGATAGAAGTAATATTTCCCTGTTGATTTTGTTAGATATTTTTGTTTGATATATTTGTTAGCTGATTTTGTTAGATATGTTTGATATTTTGGATAAAGCAAATCATGCTCTTCTGTTGCAGTGTCTCCAGTTGGAAATGAGGGGTTTGATACTTCAAATGTTTCAGTCATTTTGCCCCAATGAACTCAAAGGGTGTATCATTGACATTATCAAATCAGCTGTTTGAGAACTGGCATGGAGACTGACTCAGGGTTTGAGTGCCTCACCCATGTTATTTAATTTTTATGTTAATCCGTAAATGAGATTGTTTGAAACTTTGGAGTTGGGTATCATTAATATGCAGAGAAGCAAAAATGCAGCTCTATTGCAAGAGTACTCAAAGGAAAGTATTTCCATGCACAAAAACAACAATGTGCTAAAGATAGAGATCACATAGCTCAAATATTTACCAAATAAACCTGCACTGTAACTCGCTTAACAGGTTGGTCTACCTGTTATATGTCTATAAAATATATACGTCATTGTTATTTTGGTAAATAGCACCCATTTGGAAAAGCAAAGGCATAATGGCTATCACATTTCTATGTCTCTCTAAAGCAATTTTCCCTGAAAAGATTCTCAAAGTTTGTGACAAAGCATGCCATGCCCAGACATCAAGTTCTGTTATATGTTAATGAGGCCTGAGATGAGCAGCTACTGAATTGTTAGCAAATTACCATGTCCCCTTTGTTATATCATATTAAAAGTTAGCCCAGTCCATAAACATAGGTTTTAAAAGCAATATAGAGCATGTTAAAGCCTGGAAACATTTCAAAAGGTACAGCGAAACTCCTTTTCAAATATGACTCACATTTAACAATAAAAATGATCAATAAAAATATATCCTAGAAAGTCACATTCTATATCCAAGAGGGATGGACTCTTCTCAGAGTTGTAGAGGAGGAGGACCTTACTATTTGCACCTCTTCTACACATGCATTTATACTTTTACAGACCCATTTTTTGATTTATTCAGCCATCCAGACAGCTTCCCCAAAGAGTTTCTAAGTCCAACTTACTTAGCACTAAATAATTCTAGTTAATTCCAGATTCAGGTGATATCTCCAGCTCAGAGTCCTACTACTTCAGCACTATTTTTATCATTAAAATAGATTCAAATTCTGGAACATAAGAATTTCCATGCTTGGTTAAACTAAAAGCTTTTAAAACCCAGATGGAAGTCCTGGAAAGCCTCAAAAAAGGGATCTGACAAAAAGGAGGACTAACAGGAACTCACGGGAGACGGAAAATCCTATTCCCCCACTGCCCCTACTTTTCCCACTCTTGTTCTCTGAAGAGCTGCGGGGGGTGGTTGGAAGAGCTTTCCCCCCAAAATGCATTGCTGAATGGAGCTGAAATTACAGGATATGCTTCCAAATCCAAGCCTGTACTACCACCAGCAAGTTGGGGGGGGGGGGGTGGACAAGGAAAGCCCATCTTGCCCTCCTTATTCTCTAGGCCTCTTCTGCTGGTCCCCATTTCCTCTGTGTTAGTTTCCTGATCCTTCTCCCACCTTGCCGCTGCAGCCATCACCACTTCCTCCTCTTCGCCACTCCCACTGACACTTCACTCCTACTTCTTCCTTTTTCCCATCCTGCCTCCATTACTGCCACCACTTTCCTCCCTCTCCAGTCCTCCCATCACTGTATCCTTTTCCTTGTCCTAAATTTCCGGCCACTTCTTTTCTTCCTCTCCCCTCAGACACCCCCTTTTTAAAAACATAGCTATATTAGTGAGAACTAATTAGCTTTAGCTCCCTGGCAAGCACCTACTATAAATTTAAGGATCCACACCTATTTTCAAACTGTCCCTATTTAGGGCAAAAAAGGGTTGGGGAAAACCAGTGACTGATAGTGCAGTGCTATGTGGCGTTAATCCTGTCTAACCCATAACTCTACATTGGGTTCCACTGTGAAAGTTTCATTTTTCATTTCAAGCATTCCTCCTCTCCTTGAAGAGTTCCGCATTTTTAGCAGTAAGTTTCACTAAGTATTCAAATACGCTGCTAGTCCTATTGTGAGAGCATGAGGTTGTTTCTGTCGAATAAAACATTTTCTTTTCTTCAGTACAAAAGTTGTTTTCCCCCTTCAACTTCTGTTTTTTCCTATCTCTCAGATGGCAAAGGTGTTAAATTAGCATAGGGTGCAGCAGTTTGCAGCATTCGGTCTCTTAAGATCAGTCCTTAGCAGATCTACTAAGTATGCATAGTATTGTGGCCAAAGGCACATATACTTCTAAATTCCAGTCAGCACGTTCAGGCAGTGCTGCGCCAATTGCACTGGCTGCCAGTTCAGTACTGGATCACATTCAAAGTCATGGTATTAATCTTCAAGGCCTTATGCAGCCAGGGACCAGCACACCTACAGGACTGTCTCTCCCCATATGTGCCCCAAAGAGCTTTATACTCTTCTGAAAAGCACCATTTAGCAGTCCCCAGCCTGAAAGATGTCTGCCTTGCCCAGGGCTTTTTCAGCCCTGGCCCCTGCCTGGTGAAACATGCTTCTGGTTGAGATTAGGGCCCTGCGGGATCTGTTAATAGATCCGCACTGCCGTTATTAACTTGGCATTGGTGTCAGCTGACTTCAGCCTCTTAAGAGAATGTGCCCTCCCTGACATTATTGCAGCAGGCACAACAGTTAGTAATTGTTATGCTGCCATCAAAAATGTTATAACTGGAATTGCTGAGGTTTTTATGAATTATTATTTATTGTTTAATTATTATTTATTGTCTTATCAATGTTGTAAGCCACCGTGAGCCCATTTGCAGGGTAGGGCGGGATACAAATTGAATAAAATAAATATGCCAAAAAGTACAATTTTATATACTAATTTATACAGTAAAGCAGCAAAATAAGAAAAAAAAGTATTGTCTATATAACAGCGTTCCTTGCGCCTCGGCATCTAGTCATGCCCACAGAAACGTCTTCGGACAGCGCTGGCTCTTCGGCTTGGAAACAGAGATGAGCACCGCACCCTAGAGTCGGATTCGACTGGCTTTCGAGCAAGGGAAACCTTTACCTTATATTTCTATTTCCCCCCAAAATTAAATTCTTAAAAACAAGCCAACTTTGTCATCCATGGCTTCAAACTCTCCAGAAATTTTATATCTTTGCTTTCCTTACCCTTTGGTTGGATTTACTGCCAGCTCTTCTCACTCCTTTGCTGCCCATATTCAGCTTTCCTCAAGCCACATCACTTCTTTAAGCTGCTGCAAAAATTTCTCCTCAAAGACCCTGGTATTCTGATCTGCTGCTGCCCCTCCCCCCTCCAGATCTATACAACTCCCTGACACCCAAAGCACTACCTCCCATGTTTTCTAACCAGGTGATGCAGCCCTTTCTTAAATCCCTCCACAGTTTTCCAGACCCCACAGAAACACCTCATCTTTGCGTTCAAAGTCCTGGATGGCCTTGTGCCCATTACCTCTCTGATCTCATATCCTGCTATACCCCACCCCCTGCTCCACCACCCTCAGGGTGGCCAAAGCCTCCTGTTCTTCCACACAATGCCACCCTTTCTCCTTTGCATCCCCTTATACTTCCCCAAATACCCACACAATGCCACCACTTTTCTCACTTCCTTCAAATCCCTCCTCAAAAATTTCTTACACCCTTTCCCCCTTCCCCTGTTGAAACTAAGCATAACGTAACTAAGTGAAGGCTCATGCTTCCTGGTTTATCCCCACTTCCCCATTCCCCTTTTGTCTCTCTTATATCAAACATAAGGAGCTGCGGTGGCTCAAGTGGTTAAGACGCTGAACTGCAGGCTGTGGAAGGTCAGTAGTTCAGCAGTTCGAGACCCGAGTTGCTGCATGACGGAGTGAGCTCCCGTCTCTAGTTCCAGCTCCTGCCAACCTAGCAGTTCGAAAGCAAGAAATTGCAAGTAGATAAATAGGTACCACTTTGGTGGAAAGGTAACAGCGTTCCGTGCGCCTTGGTGTTTAGTCATGCCAGCCACATGACCACGGAAACATCTTCGGACAGCGCTGGCTCTTCGGCTTTGAAACGGAGATGAGCACCGCAACCGTAGTCGGACTCGACTGGCTTTCGAGCAAGGGAACGTTTACGTTTACGTCAAACATTAGATTTGTAAATTCATCAGGGCAAGGACTTGTCTTTTCATAGCTTGTTAATATGGTTTTAAACACAAATGACTAAGATAAAGTGCTAAGTACATCAATGGTAGTATGTATAGAACCTCACTATGCACCACAATTGTTGGTGCAAAGTATCTCTCTCTAAAGATCTAGAGAAAACTGAAAGAAAGGCAAGTCTATAGTCTCACACAACAGCATAAATACACAACAGCCAAACCCACTATGAAGCCCTCCTCCTTTATCTGCCAAAATATAGCCCACCTAATTCCCTTCCAATTCAGGGCTGCCCAACTTCTCACAATCTGACCACTTTAAAAAAAAAAAAATCCCAAAAAATCGCTCAATACTAAAGAAGTTGCAGAGACATCGTCTGCAAAACACACCTACACAAACAGCCCCCGGCCCTAACGCAGTCCAACGTTATTCTTTTTTTCTTAAAGACTCCAAAAGAACACGAGCCAATTTGGGGAACGGAAACGCCTCCGTACAATTATGGGATTTCCCCACCCCCCAAAAAAAATCCACGCTCCGATTTGGGGAGAGGTTTCCTTCTCTCCTCCTCCTTGTCTTCTTCAGGCATCCATCACCACTTCCCCTGGGTCTCGGCCACGCAGAACCACCATCGCCCCGAACAATTTAGCCGTTACCGATTTGGCTGCCTCCCCCGCTGCTCATGCAACACGTCCCTCCCACTGCATCTGCTTTAAGTGTATGTCAATATAGCGCGCAAGGCGGTGTACAGCTCTTCGCAAGACTTATCTCCTCCGTCAGCAAACCCCCCCCCCCCCGACACAGGCCACACCCCCGCGCACCAGAGTCCTTTACCCACAACATTTTTTAATATTAAAAAAGCCCTATCCACGAAAACCCAGCCCTGTTCCAAGCGCTCCTATAATCACGTGATGACTCTAGTCTTCTCTCCCTCCCCGCGGGCAAGACTAACGTTTGCTCCGCACGTAAACGGGAAGGCGGGAAATCCAAGGGTTGCTACGAAACGGGGCGGTGGCGATGGGAAGCGGAACTGAAATAAGAGGCTTTTGTGCAACTCGAATCTTTTAGGATGTTACCCCCTCAGAACCTCCTAATGCAGTATAGGGATAAGAAACTGCCTGTTGTACGTTGAAGATAACTTGACCGGTGGCTGTGGGGAGGGCTTTTGAAGGCTGACTGGAAAGAGGAAGGGTTTTTGTCATGGCAGCAGCAGGAGTGTTACATCGGGGCACCTCTTTGATGAGGATGCGACTTCTGTTCCAGGCGCCAAGAGCGAGGCTTGGTTGGTGGCACCCGACTCATTCGGGGCGAGGAGGAAGCGAGGTGCAGTTGTCGTGGGACGGACATTTTTCTTGCTCTTCCCCCCTACTCAGTTCTTGTGATTCGGATCTGTTCCGGGGTGGAGGATGACAAATCCAGCGCTGTCGTGGATCAGTCAACTCTATAGGAAGCTTCCTATCCCCTCTCGTTCTCTTCACACACGCACCGCATTTTTTTTTCCTGCTTGACTGTCCTGTATCTAGCTTTAGCAGCATTTTTTAAAATTAAGATTAAACTCGAGTACAAATTAAACTTTATATGAAAAAGAGAAATGTTGATTGATCCATACAAAGGACTGTCCGAATCACAACAGTATCGAATCCCTTTCTATCTGTGATATCTTTGCTACATCGTGGCATGCGTATGGTTGAAAATCGCATCTGTTTATAGATTTTGAAAGAACAGAAAAGTTTTAGATTCTAAATACCTTAATATATTCAAAATTGTCGTCAGTGTTACATAATATACATCTTTTAAATGCATTTTATATACAATGGCAACAGAAGCATTGTCACTCTGGAGTAAATTAACATTAGCACGATACAGGGTTATTTTTTTTAAGGATAAGTCTTCTGTTTCATCCCAAAAGGTGCCTCAAATTGCTCACCATAACCTTAATATATTTAAATCAACAAAATCAAGGGTCATTGTTCAGAAAATCATGTGCAGCTGTTCTGATGGCATAGGGTTCATTCAGTCTCTGTTGTGGTGTCTATCTTGTGGAACACCCTGCCTGAGATCAGGAAAGCCCCCACACTGATGTCATTCTGCATAATGTGCAAAACAAATGTTCAGGAGGCCATTTTTATAAAGGGGTTAGAATAGCAAAATAAAGGAACAATCCAGGAGGGCACTTTAGTAAGGGAATAGGATTATAGTCTATTACAGTGTTAATTGTTCGAGCTTTCTATTTTTTGGTGAAAGTATTCACTGGTACTGAGTACTGGCACCTCAGGAGCCATGGTCACAATTTGATATATAGATATCTAAACTTGCTGGGCTCTGCAGACAATGAAAGCAGCAAAACCAGAGCATTGGGGGGAGAGGGCTCTCTATATTGTAAGGGGATCTAGGTATGCTGGGGGAAAAATCAGACTTTGTACATTAACCAAAAGAAAGAAACACTCCCCAAACAGCCTGATGAGGACTGAAAATGCTTCAAAAAGTATAGATTACTGAGAATAGCTGAGTGTCAATTAAAAGAAACAAAAGGATACAGGAAAATTATGTTCAAGTCCCTGAGAATTTAGAT